TGGCCCAGAAAATAAAGGAAGTGATGAAAATGAAATAGAGGAAGAGTCTAACGGTAAAATCGACGATAATCTTGAATTCTTGACTCAAGATTATCGAAAGATTGTCAAGATTCTTGAATATCATGCAAATAATGATGAAGATAAGCTCAGCGATAAAAGTGATGACAAAAACCAAAATGAATTATTAAGCATGTAATTTAAAACAATAATACCTATTACAAAAACAATTCAAACAAATATTTTGTTAAGACATAAATGAAAGGAAGGAGAATACAATTAAGAATAGAGCTTTGGCACTAAATGGACTTCAAACACAAGCAAGTGTAATGCTGCGATCGTCGAACCAAAAATTTCCGCCTGCTCACGTGGGTTATACTGTTCGAGTGCGTGTTCCAGATATCGATCGAGGACGTATGGATTACCAAAATATCTTGGCTGTTGTAATGGACGTTGATAATGACTTCTACAAATTAGGAACAAAATATGGGATTATCAGTCAGCTGTACACTCGAAATCAATTTGCAGTGTGCAAAGAAAAATTGATATCGTTAAAYGACAAGACAATGTCTTTGAGACAGGTATCGACAGCTGCTTCCAAAAGTGGTGGCCAAGGTTATATACGATGCAATTGTAAAAAAAAAATGTAATACAAAAAAATGTAATTKTAAGAATGGGGGAATACTTTGTAACAGTAAATCGTGGCGATAGTTTACCATGTTGTAATAAATAAAACTTAATAAAGCATATGCTACCTAAACTTAAATATTAAAAAATTAATTTGTTCAACTATATTTATTTATGAATTTATTAGCTATCTATTTTATTATATAATATGTTGTCGTTGTCACACATGTCAACATTCACTAAATAACTATTGCGCATGTCAACAAATACTGGTAAATGTCCGCATTGTGAGATATTTGAAATAATTGATAACATTCACCAAAATGATTAGTGAATGTCGACATACGCCGRTGACTGTCAACATTTACTTCCATGCGGTCATACACCTTAATAGATACATAAAATAATAAAATTAAAACCATTAAACCAAARACCTAATTAAATTTATCTGATTATTAATTTACTGAAAAATAAGACATTAAAATTATAAATGTTGTTTGCTTATAATTCTTACTAATTTTTAAATACAAGACAACGATCGTGTACGATTGGTAGGTTCTAAATTGAAAAGTAAACCTTTCAGTCGAATAGAATTACAAAAACCTATGCGATAATGTAAGCTTGCAATTTAATTCTGAATTCCTTAACAGTTTCCCCTATCTTCAGGAGGGAAGTATAACATTGCAATGATAAGAGCATCAATTTAATTTCCGGCAATTAACGCAAAGTTAACGTACTGATCACATGTCTTATCGTCATACAGATCGTTTGCAAGCGTCAATTGGACATACATTAGGCACGTTCCGACTGTATCTATTTACCTACTTTAGAATAGACAAATTTTCAAAATGTATTTTGAGTTCGGGTGTATTGTTAACAATTGAAATGCGTTTGGAAGAWTTAATATAACGCGTTTGATCGGATGGTTTAAACATAGTGTAATGTGTGTTTTGGTGACTTTTTCTAAATACACTATAAATCAGTATAAAATAATATA